CTGGAAATGAGATAAAGAATACTCACGTAGGATGATTGGACGCACATGTGGCTCAATATATTTTTTGGCTGCAAAATAAAAATGAAAAAAATCTCACATTTTTGCAATTACATTTTCCTTATTTTCTACCTACCTATTGGACACTTGACTGATGGAAGGCAATGGGTGAAAAAAATTATCAAGTTTTATTTCTTTTGCTCTGCCGCACCATTGACAAAACAACTCATGAAATAAGAAATCTTCTCTTTTCAAAGGGTGTTTTTATGCATTGTAACTTCTTTTAAGTGCTAAAAAAATTGAAAAAAAAAAACTCACATCCCTCTTGTTTCTCTATAAGAAACTGTAAAGCAATGGCTGCCTCCACAATGACTGGAGGATCAGTGTCTTCAGTTAAACAGATGCGGGCAGAATTCACTGCTGTGGCAAGGTTTCTTTCTTCTTTAAAGGTTATGTCACCAAAACTGTGCAAGACCCAGCAAGCCTAAAGAAAAGTCTATACATTAGGTGGGCAGCACACACAGTAAGGGAATCAAAGGGTTAGATGAAAATAATCTCTACTATATCAATATCCCCTTTGCTCTAATCTTCCCCTCAACATAGAGATTTGTGTTTTCTGTTTATCATCAGGATCTTTTAGAAGACACTAACAAGAGAATTAGATTTGTTTTGTTATTTTTTCTGAAAACAACCAATGCAAAAAAAAAAAAAAACAGTAAGGAAAATTCCAGTGCAATGCTTTGTAATTTCATTCCTAGTCAGATTAAGTTTGGGAGCTATTAATAACAAATTTGTATGTTCAAGTCCCAAATATGTCTGGATTTTTACACAAAAATGATGTACCAACTAGCTTTAATGCAAAATTATGTTTTTTATTGTTATTGATGCAAATTTTGTTTAATATTTCAATCAAATAAAACGTCAGTTACTTCACTGGCAAACAAAACAATCAATGAATCAATGAAAAAACTGTTCCTACCCTGGCTCTAAGATATCCTAATGAACTTTTAAACTCAGGATAAACATGTTGCACTAACATGTTTTCCAACTGTACTTTGTACATTTTTCTCTGTAACAAGAGGACACAACACAATTTAAGACAAAATCATTAATAAGAAAGCATTATGATAGCTGATACAAAAGAATCTTACATTATCATAAGGATTCCTATCTAGAATTACAGCTCTTTACATGGATGAAATAAAAGCTCCTTAACAGAAAAAAAGGCGGAGGAAATGGGGTTGCTTGCGGTTAACATTTGAAGTGCAATCTGTCCAAGTGTTGTAACACAAAAACCAGAGTAATCTTTAACACCAGTCACAAGGTGCCTGTGAGTTCTAAAAGTCATAAACAGTACACTGCTTTAAAACTACAAGATTGTAAGAGAACAAGACTCTCCTTGGTTGATAGGGTGGTGCCAGTTTTCCACAGCAATCTAAACCCTTCACTCTCAAGATCTCATTGGTAACTCTCATTGCTGTATGCCCTACAACTCTTATGATGATAGTTTGGAGAATTTGGCACTGGATCCTTTAATAATCCCCTTATTCAAAACATTTGTCTTTATTCTCATCACTTGTCTGCTTGATATTGTATTGATATTGTAAGGAGAAATGATTTCTTGGTCACTCTTGTGATTTAAGGGTTAAAGCTCAGGGCCCAGTTGTTCAAAGGCAGATTAGCGCTAACCCATGGTTAAATTTTAATGCAGGTTTCTATATTTCTTTTCTCCAAAGCCTTTTAGAGAAAATTTTCCCTATTCTTTTTAGAACATCCAGTGATCAAATTGCAAGCAAAAAGATTTTAACTGAATTTTCTTTTAAAGCTTTCAGACCTGAAATCAAATTCCATGCTAACCCTGGGTTATCTTAACCCAGATTTGAACAACCCGGGCCAGTAAAGCAAAACCAAGGCAATCCAAGTTTACTTTCTATGCTAAATTAAAAGTTTCTCTATCTATTGGAACCAGAATAAATCCTCATTCCTGAGCCCCTGATCTCTTGATCTCTTGACTCCTAACATAGTTTTGCCGTATTACAAATTAAGTTTGAGAAGCATCCACCTATGCAAGCCTGCAGAACAACAGTAGTTATGCACTGACAGACACAAACCCATTAAAAAGACAATTCAAAATGAAAAAGAAAAGACAAGAAACCTTTAACAACACATCAGCTAATGTGCCAATCATATGAAGAGCTCCATCCTTCTGTCGAGGATCCCTCTGTTCAGGAGGGAGGTTGAGGACATGGACACAGAATACCATGGTAGGGTCAAGAACTTGTTTTCTTTTTGAAACTACAGTGTGAAGAAGCGTGGCTGCTGCAGTGACAGGGGAGACAAAATCCTCAAAGATATCTGTCAATAAGAGACAAAGCTTCAGGTTATTTAAAAGTACTGGACTACTCAAAGTTCAAATATGAAGAAAATTTGTGAATGCCACCTCAATTTTTTGTTGAGTTTTTAAACACGTGCCTAGTTATTCCTGTGCAAGATGTTACTTAACTGCCAATCTTTTAACATTTAAAAATATTCATTCCATTAAATCTTTGCTTATTGCAATCCTGTAAAAAAAAAAATTGGCTTTTGAAATTTGTTTGCCACATGCTAGTTTTCAGCTCAATTCAGGAAAGTGGATATACATATTTTCTAAGAAATTTGTTAAAGTTTACATGCCTAAGCCCCTTTAGCTGTTTCCAGGTTAGGACTTAAGTATATTATTCCCTTTCTCACCATATTTAACTCTTATAAACTCATATGGATCTTCTTGCCAGAGTTCATCATCCTCTTCCGTGTAACACATCAAAGGAAACACAACTTCCTGGATTATTGCCTATAAATATAACATCATAACATTTTTCAGACAATTCTATTGCCTTAACTCCCATAGCATCAACTAGGCCTTTCCAATCAACCTTTAAAATCCAGATCTGGAAAGAAACCTTGAATGCTTTTAAAAAGGGTAACCAACAACAGTCAGGCTTCCATCTTAGGGAATCTACTGCCATTCCAAGCACTGCACATAATGTTTGTCTATCAAAAAAACTTTGCAAACCACAGATTTCCAATTGTTACTGTACATACCAGTATGGTAACTTAGAGTCTGTTACTGTTTGTCTACTATGCGTGTTCATTACACTAATTTATAGCTGCCTGGGTGATCCCTGCTAGCTAACTTCAGTTGAACTTTAAAACTCTTTTCTGTTTGTATGTTTGCTCTTTTACCTGGATATGGGGCTTCATTATTTTCCAATGAAGTGAATTTGAAACTCTGGAAAATAAACAAGTATATTTTTTTGACAAAAAATCAATACCACTTTAAAATATGCTTTGAAGCACCATTTGTACAGCAGGTGAATATCACTACTTATCATTGCCAAACAAACTGCATTTACAAAGCTGAGACCAGCATCAATGTAATCCCCATAACGTTATAACAACGTGAAAGAAATTTACTCACCCATTTTTCAAGTAGTTTATGGTTTGCTGAAGTACTCTTGGAGCTACAAACACTTTTCGTCTGTACTGATCCAGTACTCTCAGAAGAATCTGTGTCACACTTACTGTGAGAAAAGACAAGTTCTCAGTTAAATAAATAAATCCTGCCTTTTTTTGAAACTCAGCCCAAAGTTAACTAATCTAAAGCACAGTATTAACTTCTTCTGGGATGGGCCATAATGTTATGGTGGAGGTTCCTTTGATGGTTGACTTCAAGAAATAAAAAATGCTAGGAAACCTTGATGAAAAAACCTATACACAGAAAGTGAGCCCAATAAAAAAATTCAATATACAACCTTGCAACATTTTTACTGAAGGGATAAACCTAAAGTCTCTTTGCTTACTTACCTGCAAAATGTTTACAGTAGTACTCAGAAAACTCCTCATATTCTTTTGTTATTGATCCTGGAGTACCATATCTGAAAACCAAAAGGACTCATTTAAACATGAAAGCATCATCTTTGTTAGCTGCCCCACAAATAGGCAAAAAGAAAAAGAAAAATATTCCCCTTTAAACCCCTTTTTAGGACTAACACCTAAATATTTCTTTATGGACATTAAAGTAATGGTGACAACCAAAATGTTGATATAAGAGTAAAAGGGGGAAAGAAAAAACAAAAATGAAAACCACTAACACAACGAAAGATGATGTTTCCTTATTCTTCCTGGTTCAAAACTATGTACAAAATTATAATTTTTTGACATGCTCAGGTACATGTATGCAAGTGGGTTTAGTGCTGTACTAAAAGACAGGTTTACCTCTCAAACAACCGGCACAAAATATGCAGAGCCCATTTCTTAGCTTTCCACCAGGGTAGTCTAGCTAACTCTTCTTCATCACCTTCCAGAGCAACCTAAATGTACAAAAGAAGAAAAAAAAGCACACAACTACAGGTAAGAGAGCGTGCATGACCATTTGCTATGTATTGATGTTGTCACATTTGAACCTTAACATGATGTTTCCATTTTTACTTACTAGTTAATACATAGTAGCATGGTGGGAAGGTGTTCAAGTTTACTTGTAGCAGAGCTTGCATAGCCCCATAACTATACAAAATAGTAGTAACCCATCAAGCTGAAAAAATTTGGATGTACGACCATATGACTGTACGACCATATGACTGTACAAGGTGCTACTTTTAACATGTGTGGTCAACTGTATTGCAGGCACACCAACGCCGCAGCTTTGTTCAGTAGTCCAGTGGTCAGTGCACTGGGCTACAAGTTGGACGACCCGGGTTCTAGTCCTTGCTGGGACAAGGTGTTGTGCCCTTGAGACGTGCGGGAAAAAAAAATGCAAGCTCCGCTTTTAGGCTTGGTTAAATCTAAATATTAGTTATTGATCTATTCATTCTCTTTTTAAGTCACACATGTATGCTCATATTAACCCTTAACACCATTATCATCATTATGCATTTTCTCTTTACTGTTCTCTGTACATTTCCTGAGGTGCTAACAAGGAGAATTTGTTTAAAAATCAGGAGCTTCTTTAGTTGGTCATTTCCTTTATTATCATGACATTAAAGTGTGATTCTAGGGTGATATTGTGAGGAGAAATGAGACGCCAGTAACTCTTAGGGGTTAAAGAGTTAAAGGGGAGACAGGGCGACTTGACAGTTAATGCACTTTATTCCAGATCGTGAGGTCCAAAATTAAGACTTAGCTTGGACACTGTGTTGTCACCTTTGCAAGACACTTCTTTTATAGTATCCTTTCCACACCAATGCGTACAAATAATTACTGATGAGCTTTAAGGGAAGCCTGAAGAAATGCTAGAGTGGGGGGGGGGGGGGGGGGGGGGGGGGGGGGGGGGGGGGGTAACTTTGGAATAGAATGGTATTCCATTCACAAAGGGTACACTGAGTGGGCCACTTGGTTTGGGTGCAGAATATTTATTTAAAGCAAAGTACAAGCAATGAGATCCAGAGTAAAAAGATTCTTACCGGAGGTACATCTCTGCTTGCCACAGTTTGGAATACTTGCATCCACTTCCCAAAATCTGTTGTAATTAGTTCAAGGGGAAGGACATACTAACACGACAAAAATAATTTAATGAATGAAAGATTCTTACTTATTTCATGAATGTGTGTTCCATTAGTTTATGCAGCTGGAAAGAACACTGTCATGTCATTTACAGGGAAAGCAAAAAGTTTGCAGAAGAATATTTTCAAGCTCAAATCTCAAATTCAAGGCCACACATTCTGCTGAAGCACAAAAGTACTATTTTTTTTTTTGATACACAGAGCAGCACCTAACACCCAATCCTTTCACCAAATAAGGAAAAAAAATTGGACTACACTTCAACTTTGATTTGCCAAAATGGACACTTAGTCAGTCATGTGTCCTCTCAAGAAAGGGAACATATTTGGAGACTTGGTGTCCAGCAAATCTTTAAGAGTGTCAGATTGATTGTTACATGCCGTCTTGTTTAAATCCATTACTAAAAAATGCATGACATGTTCTTCTACCCCCACTGTACTCTCTATAGGAAAACTTGCTTGTGCATGTTGTGTATACAGCTGAAATCTATAAGTTTACAATTGTCTCTACCATTAGGTTGATGAAACTAACCTGAATAAGCGCAAAGAAAATTTTAAGAATCTGTTTTTGGATCTCCACTGACATCTCCGATGAGTCTTCTATCAGGGCAACAACTCTTGCATAGAGTTGTGGCAAAAGAACTTGCATGATGTTATGGAGAAATTGCCGTTCCTCTGGCTTCTTGAACCTAAAGAGTTTAAGTGAAACAAAATTGAATAGGAGAAATAGCACAGTAACAGGCAATGAAATCATTTCTAGAAAAATGATTTTCAGTAGCCCTAAAAGTCATCTTGGGATTGTCCCTTTGCTAGCCATTAGACAAAGGGAGTCTTAGATTTTCAAAGTGAAATTGTAAAGAAAATAAAAGGACCTTTGGATCAGGGGTGAACAAAAAAAAAAGGAAGAAAGATACTATTTGGTTCTCAAACATAACCGCCACAACAGACAAAGAGCTCTACACAAGCACACAGCTCTCTTTCAGGTTAGGGAGCTTTCTAGAGTGCATCACATATTTCACATGTTTCTCCTTGTGTAGAATAACAGGTAGCTTTTAATTAAAGCTTAATTATAACCCACAAAATAAACATGTTAATAAACTGTGACATCACTGAAGGGACTAGTCCAAATAAACACAAATTTTAAGAAAAACAACAGTACATATTTAATATTTCTAAGCTCTAAAAGTGGAACCATGAAAAACTCTGAAAAAATAACAACTGCACGCCAGTGTAAAGTTACATGCACATGCTTGAATTTTTTGAAAATAGCAATAGACAGCATGTACTTACTCATATTTCTTGACAATCTGATATAGGGTAAGAAGAGCACCCATCCATGTCCCTTGACTATTCTCTGCCAGGAATCCATTCACTTTGTTAATCACTCCAGGCCACTTGTCAGGAAAGTCATGACGTAAAATCTGACTGACGCACACAGTAAGCTGGATTCTGCAAAGTATGCACACAGTTTTTTTTTTAATTGTTCTTTTATCATAAGAAAAATTTCCCCTCTGGCTATCATAACAGCTCAATTTGAAAGTCACACTTAAGGCCCTGTCTTCAGCTTTACTTAAAGACACCTGTAGCTTTACAAGATTTCTACCTTATTAATTCAGGAGCATGAATAACTGCCTCCACAATATTTTCTCTGATGGTAGCTTTATCTTGCTCAACAATAACAAATGCAGCACTAGTATCAGCAAGTTCTGAAGGATCTCTCTCTTTCCAGTACTGGACAATCATATTCTTGAGATAAATTACACCTACAAAGGCAATCATTGGCAGTCAATAGCTTACAGCATAATATTTGGCTGAGCAAATATACATTTTGTCATTACCATAGGCCTCATCAAGAACTTTTTGCTAACTCTTAAATCACCATGCTGTATGAGTCACTATCATCAAATAAACAATTAAATTCCATGTTGCTGTGCTTCTGTTTAGTAATACAAATGTAGATGATGTCAAAATGAAGCAAGAACCAAAAGGTGGCACATGAGATGCAGCCAAGTGAGTCACTGATGTTCTTAATGCATTTTCACTTCTTCTACAATCTGGTAACATACAAACCCAATGCAACAGGGAATCTTTTAGTTTTATGTTTTACATTTGTTGAATCAATAATAAGAAAACCAAAATATTATCGCTAGCAACATCAGAACCAATCAAAATGTGTGCTTAATCCAGCCTATTGGGAGAGAAATAGTGACAAATACAAGTAACAGGCATGTGAACAAAAAGTTCATTTCAAGAACATGTAAAGGCCATCCTTAAATTTTGTTCTCCTGATCAAAATGTTTCCAATAACCATGTTACAGAATATGTAAGAAATGGTTTCTACTTAAATTAATATATTTATCATTTACCAGTAAATAGTTAACATCAATTAAACTGATTACTAAAATTTTGCTTCTTATACTAAGTTTTTTTTATTTTTTTTATTTTTTTCATTTTTAACCTTTTCAAATCAACGGGTTCACTGGGTGATGGCAAATAAAACATTTTACAAGGATGGTGTTAGATGTAGCATAAACATTTTCTGTTTCAGTGAAGCAAAATTTAACTCTTTTAACTCTAAGGGTGATCGGCATCAAAGTTGTCCTCACAAAAGTATGCTAAATAATCTATCAACATTATGAGAATGTAGAAAATGATCAGCAACCCAAGAAGCTTTGATTACTAAATGATCTCTCTTTGTCAGTACCAAAAGAAATGTATAGAGAAGAGCATAGAGAATGTGGATACTGATGTTAGGGTGTAAAAGTTTAATCATTCTTGAGTGAACCATTAGGTGAATAACTAATCCTTGAGAAGAGGTTAAAAAGGCCCGTAGAAATAAATTGCACTTCTTGCAAAATTTTATCTGTGCACTTATTTTTAGGGCAAAAATGATTCTTTAAAGTTTTCTTGTGTTGCGTAGAGGTTAAATTTAAATCAAAGTTTTTAACTTGAATACTTTGCATTCTCTTGAATTTGGTACAATAGTTTTAATAACATGAACATCACTAACTCCGTTGGACTTCAACCAACACAAATAAAAGTCACTCTGCTGATATTATTAAGAAAAACTTTCTTTTCCAATATTAAGCGATTGACCTTTCATTAATAGAACAATTCAATGCCAAAGTTAATCTTTTGACTTGTGAATTGCGACATATATGCTAAAATTTAACAATGTACGTACGTTATCAGTTTTAATTAATAGTAATTTCCGCACCTGACTGTCTCACAGGAATTTGTACATCGTTAGACATAACGACTTGAAGAAGAAGCGAGAGGAACCCTGGATGCTTGTGAATCTGTAGAAAGGAAACCAAAAAAGTAATAATAACTCATCGAATTTATATCTTAAATATGTGACAAAATCATGACCAAAATAAAAATAAGTCGAATAAAATTCATTTTAAAGTTCTTTTGAATTGAAAAACAATTCCAAATTCCAAAAGTTTGGCCCAATTTAAAGTTGTAAAATTAAGAGTTCGCTTAAATATAAGATTTAGTGGCGTAATTGTTGATTAAAAACGAAGAACGGTTCGTTAGATCCGTTTCAAATATCCAACAATGTGCGTGTTGACGAAATCGATCGGTCAAATCACGAAAGAAATTGCAATTAATGAAACTTTACCTCATTCAACGTTTTTTCTGCTTCTTCTCTTAAGTTTGGGTCAAAAGTACTCGACAAGATGTTGGTTAAATGAGGTATATCCATCCTGAGGTATATTTTTGCCGGCGATCTAATGGATACCTCTTTTCTTCACTCCATGTGCAATTTTCGTCTTCCCGCGATTCTTCCCCCGGCAAAATTTAGCATGCGTAATAAAGGAGAGTCAGCTGACCTTCTCAACTGCATGCTCAAACACAGTCGCACCTCTGTAGGTCTTTTCCAAATGAAAAGAGCACCGTGAAAAAAAAAAGCAAAAACAGAACGAAACTTTAGAAATAATATTGCTTAGGGGATCGGATTAAAATCTAATGGTCTTCCACTGTGCCACTCAATCAATCCACCGTCCGCTGATAAGAAGTAAGGCGCAAAAAGAAGGTTTTGAAACAAAGAATACAAGGAATGTATGAGCTCCTGCTTGTGGCATGGATATCTTCGGGTTTTAATTTTTTGGATAGAAAATAGCACTTGATCCTCAAAAATTTAGAAAGAAAAAAAATCTGCAAAACAGAACTCCGCAAAAGTTTTACTCTTAAACAATGAAAAATCATTTGCATCCGAAGTAACTAGACATACGTGCATACACAGGAGCCCATGGCCATTACTTCAGTAATAGGCTCCTGGCATACACGAATCATCTACTGTCCAGTACCCCTCTGTAAAACTCGACTGTTACAAAATTTGGAAATATGAGGTTTTCCCTAGTTAATGAGCTTGCTACTAAACAAAATATCTGTTCGCAGCAGGCATCCTCCGTTGATCTACGGACTCACAGTCTTAGGGTAGGATTGTCTGTTGCGAGCGGTCAGCTTGTATGGTTTTTGATCTTCTCTCTCCTCATAAAATATTCAGGCACAAGAAATTTGAACTGTTTATTGACAGCTTTTTTTTGAGAGTACACAAATTGAAACTATACACTGAAAAGTGAAGCTAAATGTATTCTACAAAACAAATAAAAGCCATCTCATCTTATGAACTCTACGTACAAAAAAAAATAAAAACGAAGTCGTAATTGCTCGAAACTATACTGAAATTTTGTTACAGTCCATGTTCCTAATAATTCTAAGAGAGTAGTACTGAATAGCTAAGCTATAACCCGCAGGCAAAATAACAGAATAAAACTTTTCAAAGCCTTAATTACAAAAAACTGTTGTATATATAATCTGTTTTACATGTGATCACCATTGATAGTTTTTACTCTATGCAGTGAGTTGTCTTCAACCGAGGCTAAAGAAGTTTTTCCTTCAGTGAGATTTCCCATCCTTCATACAACGGGTAACAGGTGCCTCCCGTTAATAAATAAAAACAATATTGCTCTTTATTTTCTCAAACCTCGTTCTCAGGTGTTCTCCCTTCCTCACTCGAGAGGGAAAGAGAGAGGACCCCAGGAACGAGGTTGCAGTTCCTCATTTATTCAAGGCTTTTGTTGTCAAAAGAGGTGACCAAAGCCTTTAATCGGTCGAAAGACGATAAATAATCGATTCATAGTCGGTCATCAGTCAGCCCACAATTGGTCGACTGTAGAACGAACATTGACCGACTATTTGACGGATAAGTTAACGAGATTGTCGGATTGGATACGTCGACCACAATTGGTCGATTGTGGACCGAACATTGACCGGTTTTTTGACGGACAAATTAACGAGATAATTGGATTGGATGCGTCGCCTTTGTCCGGGATCTGGTCAAAAGTTCCTCTCTTATATCGCACTACCCCGAGTAAACGACAAGCTTAAGCTATCTTCTGTTTTCGCTTTCTTTTCCTCCTAGTAGAGGGCGACAAAGTTACATGATCGCCGGAATAAATCCACTCATTATATTTGAAATGAATTTTCTTGTTATCTGGTGTTTCTATTTTCACCTATAAGAGAAAGAGAAAAAAAAAGGTTGTCTTCCATGCGAACACCAATTGGTCTGAAATGTTATCACAGGATTTTGTATCATCAAGAAAAGAAAAAAGGCGTCGCGCCAACTTCGTGACATCGAACTAAAGATGCATCAGCTTACCAAATTCGCATCGGCAGTTCATCCACCTCTACCCCCCTCTAGTTGGTGGTAAGCTCGAGCAAGAGACTAAAGCCGTAGGAAGCCTGAGTAGGGGATCAAGGGTAGGGGGGCCTTTACACGCCACTGCTCAATATTCTTTTAAGTAGACACAAACTACAATACTTTTGCGAACCTCAATCATGTTTCAACCCTTAAGGCCAGTTATTAAAGCAAAGTTTAAACTTTTTTCATCCAAACCGCGCTCTAAAGAATCTTGAATCAAGCAGGAAAAAACCTCAAAACTTTAAGTTTCTGCGAAACTGTCAAAGGGCTTCTATTTAACACTAAAAGAAAAATCTAATAACTTCAAAACCTCCCTATAAGGAACTTTCAAAGTCCATTGATCGTCAAAAACCGCCGCCAAAATTGGATCTCGTTTCAATAACCGATGCTGAGAGCCGGTTATTTACATGAGGTCTAAGCCAAACCGCAGTTTTACGCAAGCAGTGGGCCTTTCTCTATAAGAGAAATAAATACCTTTCCACTGCTAGCTTTTGAACCTCTTGACACAGTTCACAAAAATAAATGTTCGGCTGAAAGATTGAGCAAAATTCATGATAGTTTGGAACGCGGTTTTGCTACACGACGTCTAAAACTTTGTTTAAATAGCTGGCACTAAACGTTTCAGTGCTAAATATCAATAAGGGTTGGAGAAGCACAGTAACACCGATGTATAAATGAACCACGCTTCTTTTCTCGTCCTGTGCGCCTTTAACAAGTTGTCCTAGTTATTGTTGTCTATGCGTCATAAAGACCTAAAAGCTTTTCCAAGGATGAACGACGGAAAAGAATTTTTTTCTTACTTTTTCAAGTTTCCAACCATTGAACCAGCTCCAGCTACTTCCGACCAACCTGATACGAAGCCTTTTTAATTCTCCAACAGCAGGAGAAATTACGGGAAATGTATCCTTACTGAAAATGATAAGATTTCAGACATTAGGGACATTTAATCATCACATAAGAAATATTTTTTGGGTAACAAGTATCATATAAAATGTCTCTTTATCAGTTCTCTATACTTGTTAAGTCAAAGGCAAGCCTCAAAGAGAGCTTGAAATGAAAAAAAGCTTCAAATTTTCCAGCTTCGTACGCAAGCACCCCGCTCTCATGACGAGCGGGACGTCAACAATCGGGCGAAAAGTGAACCACTATTAACGACTTATGCTTAACCACGATACTCATCTGTAGTTTTACGAACAATTCTGTTAGACGTGAGGAGCGTCCCGTCTGTTGATATTTTTAAAACAGACTTAGGGCTTATTTATGTAATCTTTGAGCATGTCAATCTACTTCTTTGTTTGGTTTTATATTATGATTATGGTAAAGGTGTTCCCGGATCCTAAATTATTACAATTTTTGTAAAAGCACTGATGTAAAGTCCTAGAAATAAATGATTATCATTATCATTGTCACTATTCATATGGATATTAATCCTCTTTTGACTAATACGAAAACATCACTTCCAGGAACAACCAATGTGATTGAAGCCAAATAAGGATAAGACAGCAGGTTTGTTCAACTAGAAGGTGACAGATAAAGCAAGTAGTACTCTTACCTTCCCCGTTCAAATGGGTCTGGAACATCTTCAGGAGATTCCAATTCTATCTCTCCCGAGTCCCCTTTCGCTCCGTCAAGTACAATATCAACCCTTGAGTCGGTGCCGGCCCAGTAATCATTAGACGTGTAAACAGTGACAAAGTAGAGCACCACTATTGCACAATGTAATTATTAAAAAAATTTTTTAGTTGTGCAACTTTAAAGAAGAGCATACCGTTAAAGTTAATTAATCTCGGAAGGTCAAGATTTGAAAACGACAAACTGGTTTGCGTGACGCTGATATCTGGTTGTGCAATTTTTTTGTTTCTATGTCTTAATGTCGAAACTATTTCAGCCATCATTCCTCCTGTTCATCCATCCATCCATTTATCTACTTTTCTATTCATTCCTTTATTCATTTTCATTCATTCAATCAATCAATCTGATTTATTATCTACTCGATTCCTTTATTTACCCACATCTTCCTTTTTTAAATGTTTGCTTCATTTAATCATTTTTCATTCCTTCTTTTTTTCATCCATCCATTCAATCATCGGCGCGTTCATCGAATATTTATTCACTGATTGACTGAATCTTCAACCGACAGAACAATCCATTCACCAAAGCTAGAGGTAGATACGATAAGTGTATTACAAAACATACATTCACTTACGATCCGTCCGAAGCTGAGGACATTTGTATAACATGTTTACTCTTACAACGTCCAATGCTGAAAGTCCGTATTCTTGCCCCAAGGTCATCTTGGGGTCGATGAGAGCTTGGATTGTATCTTCACCATTTTTGCTAAAAATCTTGTTGTTATAATGCATAATAGAGTGAAAATCGTACGGTAAGTTGCCGTTGTCCTGGTTATACGTCTTGAATTCTGACACTCCAACTAGAAAGAGGAAATATCAAATTTAAAGGTAAACAGAGCATAAAACTGTGAAACATTTAATCCGAGTGAAAAAAAAAAAAAAAAGATAACACCTTTTAAAGGTAGTTAATATTGATACTAAGTATGTACCACACAGGTAAATAACACTCATTGGCTGGTTCGGAAGTGACTAGCAAGTATTATTCACCTGTTTGACTGTTCAAATGACTGCCTGACTAATTAACTGACTTACTAACCAACTGCTTGACTAACTGACAGACTGACTGACTGACCGTGACTAAATGACTGACTTTTGACTCATTTACTGACTGACTGACTCTGATCGTGGACCGAATCAGACTCACTGACCGAACCAGACGGCTGACTGAATTGTTCGGATAAATCTGTTCTAAAGCAGTTCCATACAGTATCTGACGTCATATGTTATTCCAAATTGAAAGTGTCATTTATAATTGAATTTCTGACAAACCATCCAGAATATTTTGAGTTAAGATAGTAACGTGTCGATCTCTGTCTTTTCGACTCTGCTCGTGCAAAAACCCAAGGGCGTGCATCAGTTCGTGGGTCGCTTTCCCTTTCGTCTCACATCCTTTACCAAGTGAAACTTCTTGTTTGCCACCGCGCCGTCCAATCATAGAGAAGCATCTGTCAATCCAGATCAGGGAATAATCAGCTAGGCAAGACATGCCGAGGTGTTTAAAGAGCCGCGAGGCTCAACTTTCATCAAAAGAGGAAAAGTTTGTACAAAGACTGTGGTACTGCGTCGGCGGAGGGCATTACAAAATAATTTGCTTCCATCAACTAAGTTGAAAATGTAAGCTGGCCACCGTAAAGAGTCTCTAAAGCTTACGTCTCGATTGTTAGCCCTTCATCATGTGGTGAATGAGACCTTAACACTGTGAAAGGGATTGATCATTTTAAACTTAGCTCTAAGTATCCTTTTTCGTTACTTGTCTAATATCCATTCTTATTCATCCATCCATTGTTCGTGCATGCCTGCGTGCGTGCACACTTGCGTTCGTTCGTGAATGAGTTCATTCCTACGTGGGCTATCTTTTCTTCATCAGACTCCATAGAGGCCACATCAAATGATTAATACATATGCATGGGGAAATTAGAATGGAACATCGTTACAATCTTTCAATTCCTTACCCCGGACCACTGAAAATTTCTAAGTAATCTTCGTCTTCGTCCTCTTTCTCTTCGAAACGAAGGCAGGTCCGCTTAGCAAATTCTTGGACGGCTGCTAGAAAACCATTTACCATATCATTTCCTGAAAAGAAAACATCAAATAATACCATTTATCATGTCGCGTATAGCGTTACCTCACTTGGAAAATTATCAAATAAGTGCTTTAAAACTCTTTTAAATCGGTGGCAAGAGAGCTTTTTAAAGGCTTACCCTATAGTATCCAGGCTAACAAAATTAGTCTGAACGACAAGAGCAACCCATAGTCAATTTATAGAGTATATCTGTATTACAAAGCCTCTTGGAATATGCAACATATTTCTTCGCAGGAAGTCCCAGATATGACTGAAATTGCTGATAATTTCCTGATGAGGTCTATTTTAAACACGCGATATATTTCAAACAGAAGCCCTCCTCATGAAAATCATCATCATTATCATCAACAACACCGAATTGTAAATAAGCTGAACTAAGCGCTATGATCTATTGGAGGACAGACGCATATATAACGTCACCATTAACACTTTTTGCTTCTCTATTGCATAAAACAAATAGATTCCATATTACAGTTGGTCTGTTTGGTTATAAATCACAAAAGACATCAAAATAAGTGTCACACTCGACTGCGCTTTCCTATTACACCTTGACATCATCTGTGATCTATCATTGAACACACGCATGGCAGCAAGGAATCAATTTGCCAATTTGACAACAGTAAAATGGAATGAACGTGGAAGGGTAAGGGAAAGAATCATTTACGTGTTATAACTTTTCTTACCGAACAATCTACTGTAGAATCCAATGTTCAGTGTATAGGGTATTCGCACAATTTTGTTTCCGTCTACTATTGTTTCGGGCCAGTAATAACTCGCACCAACTCTTCGGTTTAGGATGGCACCACGCTTTTTTATTCGTCTCATATAATGCTCGATAAAGCGCTTATCAACCATCATGTCACCTTCGATAATAACTGTTATTGGAGAAATAAGAGCAGTTGCATTCTATTTACTATTATAGAATAAACTGAAATCCCGGGGGCACTAAACATTCTGTTACAGGGGGTGAAGCACTTGAAAGGAGTTTGGGCGAAGTTCTTTCTTTCTGCTATCCAATTGAACGCAATAAAGCGCCATTAAGTTTGAGGTTCGGTAAACCAAAATCAGAGTGGCCACAGTTTCAAATCAGAAGAAAAATATATACGATACGGAGCCAATGAAAAACTCGAGACTAAAACAAGCAAACTTTCTGAAGCGCAGGAAAACGCAAGTGACCAAGTCGCAGTTGGTTTAGCCCGGAATCGGATTGACGAGAAATTGGTACTAATTTTCCAGCCCAATCATACAGCGTGATGAACTAAAGCCTCAGGTCATCAATCAGGACTAGCTGACCATCTCGGTTCATTTATAACAAGAATTTCATTATTTACTTAGCAACTGTTTGCCTATATTTTACCACTATTCTGATGGATATGCTTCACTCATAAATTGACTTATCTGGTCGATCAATTCTGGTTAATGGTCAGCCTTTACAACTGTTACACGATTTGTCGCGAGGTACACGTGACTCGAACATCGTGCATGTGCACGTGGGTGGGACGATCAATTGCGTGTTCTTAACTCAGTGATGTTTACAAAAGTGGTCAGTCCTTTCTTAAGACCTGCTTTTAGAATCTTTTGACCACCAACCGAGTTGAAAATTCTAACCTGTTGACTATTTCAAAATGTTTTGAATGAACTATCGTTTCTGACTCAACTATAAATCAGATTTGGAATCTGGTTCACCACTATTTGTCCTTTTAAAGCAATAAAAGTGACTGGACCGCCTCCTCTACAGAGGTTCTCAACGAGGTTAACCGTTAATAAAAGAAACAACCAAAGTTTAGCCGTTTGGCAGAAAAATTGAACACATTCAACATTTAACCGGTAGTCGTGAAAAACGTTAACCGTAAAAACATTTCTAATGTAGTAAGTGTCATTATCAGAGTACCATAACGGAAAAATTAACTATTAGCCGCAAGAATGGCCAAAATTTTAGCCATCACCCCATCAAGACCCTCTTTATAGAAATGCAGACGACGCCCAATTCAGCCGTATTTCAACCTTACAGATTATATTCACCATGTTTGGTTTTGACCTTGTAACTCCCTAAAAAACTAGGGTTTCCCTAGCTCAAATTTCAGATCAAAGTTTACGCACCACCCAACCCCAAAAACCTATTATTTTCCTATTATTCAATGGACTGATTTTCTTAAATTGCAAAACACTTGATGAAATCCACGTTACTTTAATCTTTGTAAACTTTACTACCCCTGCTGTTGCAGTGACATGTTAATTACAAATCATATTGCTCACGAGTGTTAGGAAACCCGTAAATTTTGAATGTTACTCTTATGTCTACAAAAACACAAACTTAAAATATGTGAACGTCAAAGGCATCTTACCGAATTCACTTCCATTCATAGCTTTTCCATGTAACCGGATAAAGAGTAGAAAAACTACGAGGGACGTTAACGCAGTTTGAACGTGGTCGACCCTCATCAGACCCTGTTAGACCGACCCTCAATAGAACTTCATCACATAAAACATCATCCTTCGTGAAATCTGCTCTTTGTAACAGCAAAAACTAATATTTCGAAAAAAAACACGGAAAACGTAGGTCCTGCAATACAACATCGACGAAAGATTTACACAAAAAAATATATCAGTGACACACTGAATGGTCTGGTAATTCTCATGTTTTATTTTCCTTGAGTACCTGCTCAGTGTAAATACACAAACAAAAGTTCGCCCAATGAATTGGTTATTGTTTTGAAAACAATTTTTAGTAATGATTTTAAGCACCAGCTTGATTTTGTGAGCTTAAGTATATCGATGTAATTTCAAACCACATAAAGAACATTATTTATGCTAAATTAAACTTACAATCAAATGTCATTCGATCGCTTGGCCATCACTGGAGCAGAAAAATGCGGCCGCCTGGGACAGAGTCATGTTATGACTTCAAGCTTGCAAGACAGACATGCATGGCTCAGTCAAGTTAAATATTTGAATTCGGCTCATAGCCAAGTGGGCGGGATAAAATTGACTTTTAATTAGCCGGAAGACTTCACAAATATGGCAATCGTAAGGTTGACTTCCTTTGTTTGTGGGGGAGGGAAGGGTAATGGGGTAAATAACGAGGAAATATTTATAGATTATTGTGAACGAATGGCTATCCTGTGTACATCATGGGCGCGGTCATTACTTGTACTGGACCAATCGAATTTTAGAGGTTTTAAGATAAGGAAATGATTGGCTCTAAATACGGGAAAAAGAGATTGAAGTAGGGAGGTTGTTGTTGGAATGAGGTTAGTAACGGCTAATCTGTTAATCTGTCAAATTAATCAATTATCGTTAAAAAAAGTTGACATGAAAACCAAATATCTATGATGAACGGAAGGAACAGCCTTAGAAGCCATTATCCACCTGTGATATTATATCAAATTTACGAGTCTTGTTTGTGTGTGTTTAAAGTTTTTATAAATCTAACTCCATCTAATGGAGATAATTTTACCCCTTATGCTCAAGAATGGCAACCATGGCTGATCATGGAGAAGTCTGATTGTCTCAGAAATTAAGTCGAATTATGACCATTAAAAGTATTACAAATATAAATTTGGATGTGGTTCACCCTTGACTTTGTACATAAGCAAGCGCTTATTTATCAGCGTTGGAAACCTAACCTTCATAAGTTATTGTGAAAATAATATCCTTGACTCTGTTCACTACCTTCAATGACGTATGTCTCTTGCAAAAACTTGGATTCAAAAGATAGATAGGTCAGCTGTTATTTTAAATAAAGCCTAAGATTTTAAGATCACTTCAAATAAATATAAGGATCTTTGCAAGCTTAAATTTGGACGAAAATTATCTTTACAGTTTCTATTCACTATTTTCATAGAAGCAGTATTGCCAGCTCGTAAAAGATTATGAAAATTTAATCCTACATTTCATACGAAGGCGCTGTATGTTGGAGTTGTAAGTCGTTGCTCCTCCTTCTTAGGTCCACGGAAGGAAACCGTTTTTGTACATGTTTGTTTGTTTCAATATCAGAGTCACAAGCATGGAACATCTCACTTAGTGTATCAGACCCTTGCTTTTTATTGACGGCTTCCTCTTCCATTTCACAAGATATTTCCACAGATTCCTCCGATTCTGAATTTTGCTGGTTTTCATCATCAAGCCGAACAGAGAATTCGACGGTTTTCATTGCTGCCATCTCAAAAAATGCGTAGTTTAGTGCCTCCTCGTAAAACACCTCTCTCTGGTAAGAATGAAAGTGCGATGTTTGCAAACCTTCCGTGGAGAAGTTGCCCTTCCTCAAGTCGAGGTTTGCGGTATCGAGGTCAAGGTCGTTTGCTTTCGATTCCTTCTCTTTTTTCCTCTTTTCCTTTACTGCAAGGATGATAGCTTGAACAATGTCAGGAACACGTAAGTAGTAAGTTGCAAGAACCACAAGGATGATAAATATGATGACCAGAAAAGGTGTTAAGTGCCAAGGGAACTTCAAAATTGGTGGCCTGTCTGGTTTACCCGTTGGGCCTTGAGCTGGAGGAGAAAAATTAGATTTTTCAACGAACCATCAATTACCCCAGCTTAAAGAAAAAATAAATTTAGAAATGCTCCAATTTTTATTCCACACCGGTCCGATTAATGCAATTAAAAGTCATCTCACGTTTTTCATCACTGAATTGGTCGTACATGTCTTTTCGTATCAGTCTCAAGTTCATTTCCACCACTAGTGATATCGTGAAAATTTGTCCAATGCTTCATGTTCTTGAGCAGAGAGGGGCGAGAGTAAACGTTACACCTCTTTGAGTGCCCAGGAACTGACATGAAACGTTGATCCTAGCCAAGGATGACCAAGGATCGAAACTTATGATCTCAGGTTCAGTTCGCTAATCATTAGCTCGCTGCATTTCGCACTAAATGGTGAGCTCGAAATTTCTATCGCGTGACCGTTATCATACATACAAAGCTAGACCGAATACTCTTATCATTTTGGTATGAATCTACAAGTTGTTCAGATTTTAACGAGACAGGCCTATATGTTTATTTTCATTCATTTTTTCAAATACTGTACACTATCAAGTTACTCACTTTACTAAATAGCTATAACGGAGTGACTAACGAGTAGAGCAGCAAATCAAATTGCAGCATTTGTGAGAGAACAACAGTTGATTTATACTAATTACCACTAGACTTATAACAAGAAGTTAAGAAAATTGTAATACGTGCCATGTGACTGCTTTTTGTACATTCTGCGGTTATTTTGAAGCTATTGTTATCCTCATACGTACCTACAATTGTTGAAAAGGTGGTTGACATTGGTGACGATGATTGAGGGCCTTGAAACGAAGTGTAAACGTGTATTTCAGTAACAAATCGTCTGTGAGGAGTCGATGACGGATCGACTCTTGTATGAGGCTTTTTGCTTAAGAAATTTCGCGATGACGTGGTTTTCATCAGAGTAGTCCAGTCTCCCAATAAAGGGTTATGAGCCGTCGCTGGAATGGAAACAGGCGAAGAAGATTGAAGCCTTTGATGAGCTGGAGTTGATAACGAATACATTCTGCCAGAAGGTTGAGCATAAGTCTCTCCAGTTACGGGCGTGTTGCTGTCTTTCCGAGAGGGGAGCGAAAAACTCGGGGTAGCTTGGATTCTCTGAGAAATGAGAGTGACCAAACCTGCAGATTCTGTGGAGCAACCAAAATTTAAAAGAATCAACCTAACGAGAGAAATCAACGTTGACAAGCACACGTTTGGCCTTAAGTCAGGAAAACTTCATCTGGTACACAAACGTTGAGCCTCAAGTACTAACTTTTTGAGGAGAATACTGATGTTACAAAGTACCGCCACAAAACGGAAAATAATTTTATCACAGGAACTTCAAAAAATGGAAAGAAAAGCCTGAAAGCTGAACGAAGAAGTGAAAACCAAGAGCCCAGACTTCTCTCACTTTTTTATTTCTGTATTCGAGAAGTTTACAAAGAACACTCGATTTCATGTACTCGAAGGGTTTGTCCTATACAATAAAATAACAATAAGAACGTTTACCTGACGCTTTAGAAAAAGATGATAATTTGGCGATAGTGGCCTTGAAACCTTTAGTAGCAAAGATTGTTCTATCTATACTTTGTACACTGGATAAAGCAAGTCTGTTTGTATATATGTCGCGTAGAAAATCAGAAGAAGAATCTGTTAAGATGCTCACGTCTGAGGTGAAATTTTGGATGATGTTTGATGATGGAAATGATGAATGATTGGATCTTTTCGTCAACGTAGCGTCAAGGTTATTCTTCAGTAAAGAAAGTTTATGGGTAGAAAGCGAGGAATTGTTTGCATCGGAAATGATGTTCGTCAGACGGGTTTGGATATGAGTTACATTGTCTGGTTTACTGAGTTGTACCATCTGCATGTATCTGTGGTGTGCACTGCTATTCTCCACTGAATAATTCATTAAGCTTGATCCTGAAGAAGAT